CCCCATCCCCACCTTCCCCGTACCTGCACAATCTACTACACCCCACCCCCACCCTTCCCCCGTACCTGCACAATATACTACACCCCACCCCCACCCTTCCCCGTATCTGCACAATCTATTACACGCCCCATCCCCACCCATCTCGTTACCTGCACATTATATTACACACCCCATCCCCACCCTTCCCCGTACCTGCACAATCTACTACACCCCACCCAAACTCCACGACAGATGGCGCTCTCGCTCTGGCTCAATTCTGGTATATCCTGATTGTGGGAAGGGGGCGCTGCATGCAGTTTGCACCCCATCCCCACCCTTCTTCGTACCTGCACAATCTATTACACTCCCCCTTCCCACCCATCCCGTTAACTGCACATTATATTACACACTCCTCACACCCCACTCTTCCCCTTACCTGCACATTATATTACACACCCCATCCCCACCCTTCCCCGTACCTGCACAATCTATTACACTCCCCCACCCCACTCTTCCCCTTACCTGCACATTATATTACACACCCCATCCCCACCCTTCCCCGTACCTGCACAATCTATTACACGCCCCATCCCCACCCATCCCCTTACCTGCACATTATATTACACACCCCATCCCCACTCTTCCCCGTTCCTGCACAATATACTACACCCCAGCCCCACCCTTCCCCCGTACCTGCACAATATACTACACCCCAGCCCCACCCTTCCCCCGTTCCTGCACAATATACTACACCCCACCCCCACCCTTCCCCCGTACCTGGATGAGGTTCCGACCGCAGTGACGAGCGCCTGCAGAACGCCGACGAAATACGTAAACGGGTTCTTTCGCGTCACGCCGAAGTAGATGAGAGGCAGCACGACGATGCCGTGTATGGCGAGCCCCGTCAGCACGGTGGCCATGTACATGCCGATCATGCTGAACATCTCCTCGAAGTCCTCCGTCTCCAGCAGCTTTGCGGCGATCAGCGACATGATGCCAATCGGCGAGACCCTGAAATGTGAGGCGTCGCCGTTATTACGGTGGGTGGGTGGATGGATGGAGGGTGGTGGTGGATATGGTGGTGGCGGTGGTGGGGGTGGTGGTGGTGGTGTTGGTGGTGGTGGTGGCAGCGGCGGCGGCGGCGGCGGCAGCGGTGGTGGCGATGGTGGCGGTGGTGGTGTTGGTGGAGGTGGTGGTGGTGGTGGTGGCGGCGGCGGCGGAGGCGATGGTGGTGGTGGTGG